AGAATCCGGTGTTGGTCCACTTGGCGCTGCTGTTGAAGAATCCGGGGTTGGTCCACTTGGCGCTGCTGTTGTAGAATCCTGTGTTGGTCCACTTGGCGCTGCTGTTGAAGAATCCGGTGTTGGTCCACTTGGCGCTGCTGTTGAAGAATCCGGTGTTGGTCCACTTGGCGCTGCTGTTGTAGAATCCTGTGTCGGTCCACTTACTGCTGTTGTAGATTCATTCGTTGATTCAGTTTCAGTCCATGCTTCAGTTTGCTCCGTTTCTATATTTGTTGTAGTTTCTTCACTGTCATCAAGGATGTCGACTTCAGACTGCAATGTTGTTGATGCAGTAACTAATCTTCCAATGGAGTCTGAAGTTGTGTCCATATACAGTTTATATCTTTTTGTTGTGCGTCCTTTACTGTATTCGCCCGTGCCCGTGAAGGCTCTAAGCATATCGGTAGCGCGCTGTATGAATGGCACCGTGTAATGCATGGTATAGTAAACATCGGCTACCAGATTTCCCTCCAACTCTTCACAGTTCTCGCCATAGATGTTGATGCCAGCCAGCTTTTTGTCAATGATCATCGGATCACCGGGACGTGTGCTGCAGCCTTGCTTACTGCTCTTCACGCAGACCAAATCATCGTCGAAGGGAACTTTTCTTTTGCCAATATTGCGGAAGGCCTTCTTGCATTTTTTTTGGGAGACCACCTTGGTTTTCAGCAGGGTTATATCGCGTGTGTAGGAATCTACATAGGATACCAGCACATGGGCATTCGGCCTTGGCACCTTTCGGTACAGTTCAATGTAACGATACGTTCCCTTTTTTAATTTCGTGTGCAATGCCAGAAGTGCTATCCTATGAACATCTTCATGCTGATACCTTCCGGCGGGCAAAAAGAATGCTTTCACGGGATAGACAACTCGCTCTCTTTGTCCGAAGTGATTGCCAGGCTGTATACTCATATCCCTAGCCTTGAATTCATGCGATGGCTCCAGCTCGTTGGCCAGAAAGCAACGAGAGGACGTGATGATCATACGGCGTGAGATAAGAGCTCCGGCACAAATCACCGAACCTTTGTACAGAACGTTCACGTAGTAGCTCAGGTGAATGCTGGGATCAAATAGTGGCAAAGTTTTTTTTATGCTCGGATGGAAATCACGTAAAAACAATGCTGTTGCATTATAGTCAACGTGCTGAGAGCTCTTGTGCGCCCGATTGTAATAGGTTGGACGATGATACTTCTCATCGTACGAGCTCACCCATCTCCCAGCGGCAATATGCACACTGATCACTGCCAACAGAATCACAAATTTGTCCTTATGCCGTTGCATCTCTAGTTCTACTGAATGCAAACCAGAAAATGTTTCACTAAATACCCATGCGCTTACCATGTCGAATGCAAAACAATTCCAATTGGACACGATTTTTAGATCAACTAAATTTACATAAAGTAATGTTTTATTCTGAAGTCAAGGGTTTGTCAGCTAGTGGTAGTCATTCAGTCTTTTTGTCAAGGTAAGTGTATTGTCAATATTCGACTTGCTTTCTTACTAACGGCCTTTGGATTGCACTCAACAGGTTTTCAGCAGTCCTCAAAGCAGGAGGAAATGCCAAAGATTGAGGCAAAGCCTATAAATATCAACAAAAAGGAAATGAAATAATATTATTTCAGATGATGCTAATTGGCATACGGTGGCCGTTCACGACATTATCCCGTGACAGGCAGACGACATGTTTGAAATTAAAAATCATCAATGTGCGACTGGATGAATGTGAAAAAGACTGAATGGGCGGAAGCTGCCATAGAACTATGTAACGAACTATGTAATTAATTTACGTTGATTAAAGTTGCCACAGCTGCCAGAGGCAAAGGAGGCCGTCGACAAAGTGCAGCCTGTTGCCGAGACAGCCGGAAATTGGAGTGTTTGCAATATGTGCGCTGGGCAAGGGCAAGGCTGGGCAAGCTGAGCTCCAGCCCAGGCATGGGTATTTCCAACTGACGGCGACAGCGTCTAATTGATGGGCTGCAGTCAAAGTCTTTTTTATGCAAATGCTCTAAAGTTGGCAGCCAACTTACTAACTGACTAACAGCCTGACTGCCTGACTGACTGTATGTCCTCTGTCGACTGTCCTCCGTCGTCTGTCGACTGGCTGCCCGGTTCGGGCTCACTCATCAATTATTTAGAATATGTTACACTTGACACATAACTTCACAGACATATGCTTACTAGGCCGTCAGCCGAGTCAGCTGCGCAGTCAGCTCTCCGGCCGTAATTGCCGGTCATTATGCTTAAGGGATAAGGTACTTCAAGAGCTTGCCGTTGCAAAAGGTATATGCTTAAAATGGAGCCTGACGTTACCACCCACCCACTCCTGCACCTTCGACAGGAAGTAGGCTTGAAAAATATTCCAAATGCTCAACTACAATATACTCTCTATAAATTTACATAGTAAGTGGAACTTGAGGTATATACTATATGACAATTATTGCTGGGAATGATGCAGCCCTCATGATCCACAGATCATCATGTATATCTTGATTTCTTTTATATTACTGTCTAGACGGTTTTCTTGCATTCTCTAAAAGCTATTACGACTTAGGGCACTTGCACCTTTCTTTTCAGTTCTAAGTTACTCCCACATAGTATACCCTCTTGCTCAGCATTGTCTGCAGGGTATTGAAAAAAGGCCAAACTTATATGTGGCATATATACATAGCGTTTGGCTTACACGTGTTTTAGGTCCTCACTTGACGCATCGCGTTGAAATTTATGCGTACGTGCTCAGTTGAAAAACGCTGCCGACGACAACCCCGGGTCATTTATTATTAGCTGTGAAACGCGTGCCCGGATACGGACAACGGACAAATGGGCAAATGGACAAATGGGCAACTGGGTAACGGGCCACGGGCCACGGGCTAAGAGCAAGGCAAATTGCCTGGCTCAAGGTTTTACGGTCTGCCTGGAATATAACTTTTGGGTTAACCAAGAAGAACAAACTCTGCGCAATATATACAGTTCTTATTTGCATACTTTGAGAGGCTGTCGACAGAAGGTGTTCAAATTCAATACACACCCAGCAGGATGTCAAAATTGTGTGCTGAAAATTGAATTTAAGAGAAATGCTTTTAAATGAAAATTATATTTATTGAGTTTTGCAAATCAATTGAGATTCTAATTAATTATGCTTTGAAATGCAGTCAAATTAAGGTTTCCGTACACACCCACACACACACACATACAAATAAAGGAGCTGGGTGAGATGTGCTCCTGACGACTGCAAATTACATGTCACTCATACGCCATGAGTGCCGAGATATAAACGTAAATACTTGTCGAGCTGTTGGCGCTGCTCCTGCTCCTGCTCCTGCTACTGCTTCTGCTGCTACTGCTGCTGTTTTACAGCTCATTATGCAACATGACGCAATCCTTTAGGAGAGGAAAGAAAAAATTCCGCATTATATATGACGTCTTGCTGCTATTTTCATATGCAGTCGGCAAAGCTGCCTGATTTGTTGATAAGTGTTCAGCAGAAGAACAAATTCAATTTGCCCATCAAAAGTAAAATGCTTTAAAATGTTAACAGCAGCAGAGTCAAAGCCAGTTGCATGCAGCTCAGTTACAGGTTTTGCTCCAGGGTCAGTTCCAATGTGTGCTAAGTGAGCGTGTGTGTGTGTGTGTGTGTGTGTGTGCTTGTCGGCATGCTTGTGCATTTGTCTTAAGCTGTTTGGACATGCATTCAAAGACAAAGAGAGAGAGAGAGAGAGAGAGAGAGAGAGAGAGAGAGCGTATTGCAATGAGCGTTAACTGCTACAGGCAGCGGCATCTTCTTTGATTGCACCACTCGAATGTGCGCCCACCAGGACCCGCAAGCAGCGCCACATACTTCTGCAAGAGCTACTGCCCCGGCGAGCGAGCGTTGTCTTCTACTCAAACACAGTTCGTTGCACATTTGAACATGCCCTCAGAAAATAAATGCAAATTTAGCAATGGCAAACACCCATACCAGAAGACCAATAATACACATACACACACACACATGCACATGCACAACTCACACACGTTGGCAATAGAAACAGCGCTGCTCCTTTTGTAGCCGCTGCACATTTCCTGAACGCGTTTGCCACGTTGTCGCCGGCATTCTCTTAGCTTTCTCTCTTTCACTCTCTGTGTCAGCTACTCCCTCTCTCTCTCTCTCTCTCTCTCTATCTGTCTCTCTCCCTCTCTCTTTCTCAATATATTATTTGTATAAATTTTCGATTTTCTGCTTCAACAGTCTGTCTGGCGCTGCAGCTCGCTCGCATCTCTTCACTTTATTTATTTCTCAAGAATTCAGTTTGTTCTTTTTCTATTTTCTTTTCTCATTTTTCCTATTGTTTTTCTGCAGACTATTTTTCCCATTCTGGCTATATTTTTTTCACTCCCACATGCTTTGTTGCTGTTGTTCCTATGGTTGTTTTTCATCTTGTTCTATATAAGCATTATAGGTAAAGGATTCGCACATTCGGTATTGACTCGAGTGCATTGTCTTTTCTTTACATTATTTTTTATTTTTTTGGGTTGGGGGCTTTGTTGCTTTTGTCCGCGTTGCAGCTTTAACAACGAGAGGAAGTTAGTTTTTCTTTGGCCGCTTTGAAATTTGATAGCAACAGAAACCCAAATCAGGCTAAATAATGAGCAGATACTCTTTATCGATGTGAAACATAATGCACAAAGTTAAGGCTGCTTTAATTTACTTTTTATTTTCACATTACGCTAGCTCATTAAGTTTTATTGCAATTTCATAGTTCTATGCCAAGCCACACACACACACACACACACACACACACACACACACACATATGCACACATATACATACACTCGCCCACATATCACTCAGGCAGCTTTGCTTGCTCGGCATCTGCTCTTAAACGTTGACTACTGCCTGGCGGCTGATGCTACTTAATGGCTAATTAGAAGTATAATTTACACCTTAATGACCCAGGAACAATGCTCGAGCTGTGTACGGCCTGGCATGGCCTGGCCTGGCGCTTCAAGCATACAGCCCAAGCTCACTTAGCAAGCAAACATGACTCCTACATACATATACACACATATTCGTCTAGTAGACGCAAAGCTTTATGTGAAAATCAGCGTCCATTAATAAAGACAGCAAGCGAAATGTTACGCATACGCCAGGTACGCGGGCTGAGCATTAATCACAGCGGCAATATGCATATACCATCTATAGCATATATGTATATAAAAAGGATAAATATAAATTTGTGCGTGCCATTGTGTGTGTGTGTGGCGTAGCGTATTAATTTCATCGCAAATGCCTTTATATAGCTATATGTGTGTGTGCGATTTTAGACAGTTTGATTTATAGCCTCGACTAAAGTGATTCTAGCCTTTTGCTAAATTTGTTTGGCTGCTGCTTTAAAGTCCTATTGAAACGTACCGAACATGTTTGGCAGCCAGCAATATGATTATCTATACTTATCAGCCAAAATGCATGGCACAACAATTTGACTTAATAATAAGAGAGCATGCAGTAACAGAATATCGTATGGCTATGCGGATGGCTATAGCAACTAGCAACGTTGAGTTGAATGAGTTGCATGCAAAAGGGAATATTTTGTCACGCACACAAAATCATGCGAGGCGTCAAAAATGTTGTCACCTAACATGGTTATCCGGCGTAGTTATTCGGTGCCTGGCACACACCTGACCGGGACCAGAGTGTTGGGTGTTGGCTGTTGGCTGTTGGCATTCGCCAGTTGGTAGATGGCAGTTTGCAGTTGGCAATACAATTTGCGAGTCGTCATGTAGCTGCTATTCAATTGTGTGACATATTTTAATTTAATAAACTGCCAGCTTGGCATTATCACAGCTAACAAATTGCCAAATGGCAGCTGTTGAAAACTTTCAGCTCAACTTCCTCAACTGACACGTTGCGTTTACGTAACGGGTGGCCGTGTGCGCTGACATCAGCAAAAGATTTAATGGGCCCTTTGGCTAGTGAAAATGCCATAAACTTTAAGTGCAAGAACTCAAAGCTCCAGATTAAAGATCAATTACCTTTTACGCAGAGGCCTAAATCCCTTTAAAACCTCCAAATCTAGACTGCGCCCTCAAAAAAAGAAAACGTGCTAGTTGCTAACGTATCAAATTTTTTACTCTCCTATTTTTTTTTTTTTTTTTTTACTTTTTTATTTTATTTATGACCGCTAAAAATTCAAAATGTACGGCCATATAAACGGCCAAACGCACCGCGACAAGGACAATCGTCAAGGCATTAAGAAAAAAGGAAGAAAAAATAAATAAAAAGAAGCTGAAAAAATATTACAAC